TAACACCGCGGTTACATAACACCGCGTTTAACAATAACAACGGCGATAATGGGTGTCGCCAGTGGTGGCTACTTGCGTCGAGAAGGTAAATCGATTAATCGCTTTCGTCGTGGAAAGACGATTCCTGTGGATTAGAGCTCGACGTTAGATGGGTAGGAAACTGGCGTCAACCGGAATCTCGATAACTGACGTCAAGGATAGGTTGATTAGCTGTTGACGTTAGGTGATAGAAATTTCTCGCTGACGTGTGATCTATGCTAGAATATTCTGCCGGTTCATATTAATTCTAAAACGTTGGACAGTTTATTAGACATTTCGTGCGAATATTTGATAAACAAATGAAGGATAGATTCTACGATTTTATTTTTCACTGACTTTGACTTTTATCGTCAACGTTTTTTTAGAATTAAGTTTGATTTGGAGTGCTTTTTATTTATTTAATCGAAATTAAATATTAGAACGAACGCAGTATTGACTTTAATTATCATGCAAATTACATAATCGATATATCCTATCTTTTATCGTTGTTGTTATTATATTTTAGAGTTAAATCGATTTGGGTTCTTTTTACTCGTTCAATTAAAATCAAATTAGAGAATGTAATTCTGCAGCACACGAATTAATTTAGACGAACTACCAACGAAAATTTAAAAAATCCCTTTCTTTGCTCTGTCGCATTGTCAAAATGGTCATTGTCTAATGACGTTTAATCATCACTATTAAATGAGAAATAATTGAATTTTTCTGAAAAATTATTTCTGCATTTGAAAGTAGATTTTTTTTTTTCAGTGAAATATGAAATCTTAATTGATAATTAAAATAGCAACAAAATAGTTCATTTCTTGACGAAATCATCATGTATGAATAGGCCAAATTCGATAACCTAATCGACGCGAGAAAGCGTTCTCAAGAACCGTCAACGTGTGGAAACGTACGATCAAAGCTATAGTTTCAAGAAAAATGTGGGCGTTAACGACTATTATTTTTATTCTCTTTCGCTTAACAACGGTAGACCGTTATGCTCGCGTAGTCTCGCATATAGTACTTTCTATTATGAATATTTAACGCACCCAGAGAACTAGTTCATTCACATTGTAGGAGACTCTCGATAATTTTCTCAGCATGGCAAATTTCATGGAAATAAATGTGAGAAATCCGTAGTCGATCATCTGGAAAATAACGATTCATTCACTTCCATTTTATTTCATTCGATTTTCATGACAACGATGAATTTAGATGAATTAATAATTGATCAAGTGTAAAGGTTCT